ACCCTTACCAGACGCGCTAGTTTCTGCTCCCTCTCACCTTTCGCAGAGGTGCTATTGTTCTGTGCTCAGCCTCGACTCCTCTCTGCGGTACTCTAAACCCCGGTCGCCCAGATTCTTCCGCGGACATGTTGGCAACGTGCCCACAACGTTCGGGACGCGCATCGGGCGTCCAGTAGCGGGCGAGGCAAAGAAAACCTTGACCTGTCACAACCTTCCAGTTTTACTGTCCCCCCCCCACACTTTCAAGTCACCAAAGCGGTATCTTTTTACCAAGACGGACCTACCACGGCGTCCATGGGTAAGATCAGTCTCACATATAAGATACGGTATGCTTCTGATGAATTTCTTTAGGATTGTGTCTCAGAAATTTTGTATACTATACAATCATCACATCAATGGCTTTATCCAACTAAAGCACGCGGTAAACGAGAAACGGAACTAAAGTAAGCTCCTCAAATCTGAAGGCCCCAATCCATGTTTTCGTCGAATACCCACGAACACGCCACACCCACTGTGGGCGGAGCTTAATTTACCCGTGTGTGATCTGTGATTGCTCATGTCACCATACCAATCATCACTCGCTCTTCCGCGCCTTCCTAAAGAGGTCTTAGGCGATTTTTACTTGGTTCGATGCACATCCTGTGTTTCAATTGACTTTCGAGTAGCGAAACAGCCTATATAGCCGTGCCAAACCATATTAGGGGAGGAGGCAGACGAACAGATATGACGTGATAGACGTCGAGTGCTTCGCCACATTTGTGCCTAGAGATACCTGGCTGGAACATCGGCGACTCCACATGGTGTTGCTTATCACCAGAAAGCCCCCGGTTTCCAGGTGGGAAACGAATGCATGGCGCAGAAGTGTGCTATGCAGTGAAATTATTGTTCCAAGCAACTTGTTCCAATTACAGTTCCGCAATGTTGAAAGGTATTATAAGTGACAACTTACTGAGAATGGAGATTACGGCGACGCAGGTACAGTTGCTGTCATTGATCGAATCACATCCGTGGCAACGGAGCGCGCGGACGCGGAGCGTTTGGAACGCATGCTTGTGCCGAACTGGCCCTCATCGTGACCGCATGCTCAACAAGCACTTTTGCGGGTGTGATTCCATCTGCGACGATACGTGTGGCGTTACATTCTTTTTTTTACAGCAGTTTCTTTCAGATCCTCTGTTTTCTTACTTTACGAAGAATGACAGCATTTGGGCACATACCATTCTGTCGATTTCGTCTAAGCGATAATACAA